CTGGGGAAGCTGCAGGCCACGGGGGAACCCTTTGCAAAGGTTTTGCCCCCCCCCCCCCCCCCCAAAAAAAAAAAAAAAAAAAATCAAATGTGGCTTTGGTTAACGTTCATGGACTGTTAATTAGCATTCACGAGATTTAAAAATAAAAAAAACAACAAACATCATTTCCTCCCTCTCTCCTCCGCCCAGAAGCAGGCTACTGGTAGAAACTGAAGCTGGAAAAAATAGTTGAAAGTCAGCTAAAGTCACCTTGGTAACTGCAGCAATACACTTGCCCAGAACAGGAGACATCAAACCCAACTACAAACAGCTTTAAAGAAACAAAAAGAATGTAATCATCTAAAGAATTAATCTGACAACTGCCCACGTTTACACCTCCCACAAGCTCCCAATCAGAGGGAAATGCGCTTTAATCTCCTCCAACTCCCCTCCAGTTTCACAAAATACGAGATGTGCCGTCCTTAAACTGGGGCATTTCCGGCGTGCTGCTTCCATTTAAATCTACTGCCTTTCCTAATGCAGCAGCCCTGGCTTTTGCAGACTTGTTTTTTCTGGACACTGAGAAACATGAATTTTTTTGTGTGGGTTGGATGAAGTATTAAATCTGGAATAGACAAAGTTTGCAACATTTTACGTGATAGTCAGCTAGATCTTAGTCATAACAAATAAAACTCCACTGGCTTTTGCTGATGATTTATTTGGTGACGGGGTGGAGGAAGCAAAGGCTTACGGGTAACTGACAGTCGTAAAACCAGGGATGTTAGTGTTAGAAAGCAAACTTTTTCTACATTTTCTTCTGAGGCTGAAAACTACAAGCTGTGGATGGCAGTGTGTGTTACGACATGAACTTTTTATTAATAACAACCTAGAAGTCCTGCCAACCCTTCATCTGGGCCATCAACCTTTGGAAGGGTCAGCACAAGGATTTCCATTCCCAAAGGGAGAATTTTAATGGGTCTTGCCGAGTCCCTGTGTCATGCAACACGTTCCAGAGTCTGAAAGTGATGGCACTGTGGCCTTGTGCTACGCGCAGTCCACAACGTGTCCAGAAGTGCCCACCACGCAAAACTCTGGTGTAGAAAGGTATAGCTTTGATAGAAGGTTATTTGGTTTTCTGCTGTTGGAGTTTTGCCCTTAACTTTAAATAGCTGAAATTGTGTGCGCTCCACTGCAGTGAAACAAGAAACACAGAGACCGTGACTATTTTGGAAAAGGTTTGTGGAAAGGATTAATAATTTCATGTCATTCAAAGTATTAACTACCATTTTGCTTCACTCCTTCACCTTTTTGACAGAAGGGCTGGTTACTTATTAATGTGAAGTCATAATTATTGACAGCCTTAAAGTCATGACAGTTCCGTTTGATAGTTATACATTAGTCAACATCTTCTCTTGAGCATGTAATGACAAACAGCATTTGCTGTTTTTAATAAGACTTAGAAAGCTTTGCCCCTTGCCTCCAGAATATTGTCGTCATTCCTATTATTGCATTAACAACTGGAGGCTCTTTCCCCTCAGGACCGCGGCCCCATTGTGCTAGCAGCTGTACTGGCTGGCATGGTGGAAACCTAAAAACCCACCTTCAGCTCAGGGGGTTTGGAGCTCAGGGGTATGGGGAACTGTCCTGCGGCTGTCTGTCTTTCCAAAGCATCAACCTACAGCAGGGATTGCCTGGGAGGGTGTGTTATGGGACGTGCCTGGCGCGCTTGGGCAGTCCAGGTGAGAAGGGCACAGTCTCTTGTCCGTAGCAATAACAGTGCTGTAAAACTCCTGGTCTGCTCCAGGGTGCGTAAACTCTGGAACTGCATTTAACGAGTGCAAGCTTATGGCCTGCTTGAAAGTCATGCATTGCTAATGGCTGACCCTTTCGGTAGGGATTGATAAATGAATGATTGGAAGTGGTAGACCACAGGCTGACTTTCCCACAGCTCTCTGTGTATATAAGATCTGATAAGGAAGTTGAGGCAAAGCTAAGCTTAAGGTCAACCGATCATTAATCAACTGTAACTGCACTCCTCAGGTAATCAGCCTGCAAAATGCTGGCCCACTCCACTCTTTGAAGACCCCACCTACAAAGAGCTGTAAAATGTTTGCTGAAGTAGATTAAACACAGCTTTAAGTGCCACCTATAGACTACAAAGCATGTTGTGTCTTTGCTTCAGGGTTAACCCACCAGACTGACACTCTGCTGCCTGTCAGTCCATCAGCCCACCCCATGCATAAGCTGTATCCTGACCTACTGTGTCCTTGCTGGGTCCATTATTGCTTTTGTGTGGTGCTAAGGCAGAACACAAGACATGTTTTACAGTTTTTGTCTTGCAGGGAGCTGAGCTGCTCTGATTTCTTTTTTCCTGCGTGTCTCTGACCTGGCCATGCAGGATATTTGCAGGAAGGCACTGTGTTACATCAGTTTAGCTTGTATCCTCATTTCAGAGTGGGCAGCTCAGCAGCCTGGGTGAAAGGCTCACCTGGGACTAGGTGACCTGGCAGAGGCAATAGGCTGATCTGCTTTGGAAGCCACACTGAACTGTATGACTATGTGTGTGGTGGACAGGAGTAATTTTGGGACAGCACCCAAATATAAAATCAAGTAGAGGTGTGATCTAAGTCAGCTCATGAGGGTCAAGCTGATTCTTTACAATTACTTCCAGATGTACACTAAAGATGGCTCCGCTTGGGTGGAGGAAGGATCCAGACTTGTTTTAACAGTGTTCCCAAATGGAGCCACAGCTTGATAGCCTTGTTTGGCTTTTGGTCAGTCTGGCACCATGCAACCACATTGCAATATGGTACCCTTCAGCTCCCATCTTACTTCTATTAAGTTCATGTGGAACGCCAGGTCACAAAAATATAAATCACATATCAGACACATCGCATTAGTCCATGTCATCTGCAAAAATCATAAACCGCCCCCATCCTTCGTTCTCTGTTCTGGACTATCAAGTAAGGGATTATGATGATGCTCTTTGAACATATAAAGTGTTTATGGTCAAGTATTTTGAGATATACCAGGATTCTGTCTGGCAAAGTTCCTAATCACGTAACAACATAACCTTTAGTCGTAGCTTCACATTATGCTGGCCTTGCAGAAATGAATGAATAAATAAGAAAGCAAAGCTGCATTGTCTTAAAGCAGCCCCACTTACAAGAGAAAGCAATCTGTGGATGTCCTACTCGTCAGACGTAGAGCCCATCTTTTGGCTGTTGCACTCGATGCTGGTGGAAGCAGAGTGTTCTCAAAACCTTTTGGTTGAACTGTGGAAAGAAATGATTTGGAGAAAATTGTAGGGATGCCTCAGATCTCAATGATATTTGAGCAAGGGCACAAGGGACTGGACAACTCTTTCCTGCAGGCCACTGCCTAAAAAATCCTGAAGATAAAGCAAAAGCAGGAGGGAAGGCACACCTAGTAATTCTTCCAAGACATTTGATAGTGGTTTAGAGTTTTGGAGAGTGTAGTTTTGCTCCAGTTCTTCCCAGAAATTTTATTTCTTATATGCTGGGAAGGGATGCACCATGTGTGTGCACCAATTCAGATCCTAGGTCATCAAATCAAGGAGGAGGGCTGCATGCTGTGACCGGTAGTCTGAGAGAGGCTGCGTCTCTGTAGGGGTGATGAAAACTCAAATGTGTCTTCATAACAGTTCACTCCTGCCACCTTCAATATTCGCACAATCGCTCTGAAAGGCAGCAGAAATAGCACACAGCACCAGGATCCTAAATGTATGCATTTTGTCTCTTCTCTTAGAAGCCGTAAGGACAGTTTAGAAAGCGAGAGCTCAGCAGCTATCATTCCTCATGAGCTAATCCGCACGAGACAGCTGGAGAGCGTACACCTGAAATTTAACCAGGAGTCCGGAGCTCTCATTCCCCTCTGTCTAAGGTGAGTGAAGCCGTCCTCCTCCTCAGCTTGTGCTAACATGCTGCTTTTGCCTTGTGGCATTGTTTCACCATACAGACATGCATGCAATGGGTCTTTAAAGGCCAGAGCTGAGATGTTTTGCCAAAACACATTAGAAACAGATGATTCTTTGCATGTGTGTTCATCGTGGTAAGATTATTTCTCATTCTTTTTATGTCCTTCAGTGTCTTTTGAGTGCTGAAATAGGACAGGGTTAGCATAGGGGCTTTTTTATTAGCCTAATGCTGGCAACTCTGTGATAAAGAAGGGATGTTTTAGTATGTTCTGTCAAAGAAAACTCTTAAGTTGTTAATTCTGGCTTATGGACTCAGACACAAGTGGTTGTGCAAAGCCTGTTTGCAGTCAGTTTATGCATGCAAGTGTGGTTTTTAGATAAATTATGTCACTTGCATGATTGAAGGAACAAAACATTGCGTGCATACTCTACACGTCGTCTTTGGAAGGTTCAGGCTGCACATACCACTCTAAGTGACTTTTCTAGGTTTCCACAGTTTCAGTCAGCACTTTTTAAATATACCTGTGGCAAATGTAGTCCTTAACATAAAGATGAACTGTGGGGTAGAGACAAATGATTGCAGGTGATTAGCTTAATGAGTTACATGTCTGTAGTATCAGAGTTAGCAGCAGCAGGTGCACACTTGCCTGTGCCTGTTGAGAAACCAATGGGATAGTTAATACAAACATATTTTATTTTACATCACAAATGTGTGAACAGTCTGTCCTGATCAGTTACCACAGCTCAGCTGACAGTCATCAAGCCACTGTGACTTTGTTAGGCGCTATATATCTTACCTGAAGTTTTCCCCCTTGCATGTTGGAAGCCATGCATGCGTGTCACACATGCTCTGAGCCTAAATACCAGAGCCATGATTTTCCCTCTGGAAAGCATTGAATGAAAAAAAGGGAAGTGATACTGTAGGTGGTCATGTATGTGTATTTTCTAAGCATTTGCTTAAGTAATACAGGTTACATTTGTCAAGCACCAGGGAAATGTATTACTAGGTATTGTCAAGGTAGGTAAGTTTGGCCCCACCAATGAGCCTGCTTAGGAATGCGTCCTCACATTCCCACATGATGTGGAGTCTGGATTCTCTTCTGCAGTTTTCGTCTTACTGAAAGACTGGCAGTCCTCTGCCCTTAAGTACATCATGGGGATAGGCATGCAGTGGGATTTAGATGTATTCTAATTCTGTAACAAGGCCCTGCGATTAAGGGGGGAGATAAGGGGGAACTCCCTGCCTCAGAAGGAGGCTTGTGACCTGCTTTTTGGAGTGAATCATTCATATATTTCTGAAAAAATAGTAGTTGCTGCCTTCAAAATGGTTTCCCATGCTGATGGCAAAAGCTATAGTGATATATCTTCATCATCCTGTTGAATGCTGCTCTCACCCTCTCAGTTCATGCACGTATGTTTCATTCCCCAGGGGAAGGCTCTTACATGGACGGCACTTTACATATAAAAGTATTACAGGGGATACAGCAATCACGTTTGTATCAACGGGAGTAGAAGGAGCCTTTGCTACAGAAGAGCACCCCTATGCAGCACACGGACCTTGGTTACAAGTGAGAGAGCCTCCTTCCTTTTTCTCCCCTTCCTCCTTCACTGTGTTCTAAAAATGATCCTGCTAAAGGCTTATGTGGTTTAAAAGTGTAACAAACCTGTATTTTCTGCTGCAACATCTCTCATAGCTCTTGCGTAATATTTTCAGTAATTATGGACTCAGAAAATAATGGTGAACTGTTACTATTTATATTAATGGAGCTCAAATTGATAAGCAGTGGCTGGAAAGTTCAAAACTCATCTATGAATACAGTAGTGTCCATTTCCTGGAGTCAGTGAACACTTTACAGGCTGTATTTACTCTTGATTTCTTCCAGAAAGGAATTTGGGGAGGCAGAGTGGAATGACCTAAACGAGAATGGAGCCAGGGCGGAAGAGCTAGAAAGCTGGGGGCTGTGATCCTGCAGAGCCAAGATCTCAGTTTTACATTGTCCCTAACAGGAGAGCAGCACAGAGAGCACAGCTTCTTTCAGTTTTAGCTCTTTCCTATTGATTCTCTGACAAAAGCTCGTGGTTGCTTGAAGCACCCACACGTTTTCTGCACCCAGATTTTTTCTGTGTCACATATTTTCCTTGGAAAGTCCCCATCTGCTTGGTGCCGAGGGTCAGCCCTACGGAGCAGTGATGCACTAATGATATGATGGTGCAGCGCTATTCTAACCTTGAATTTCTTCATGGTTATAAACATATTGCGAAAAGAAAAAAAGCTTTGGGGAATGTGTTTATTCAGAAAAGCCCATCTATGAGAGACTACATGCATGCAGTACGTCTCTGCATTCACTGTGGCACTCCTGCCTCCCCTTCTGTTTGTAAGGCAGGGTGTTGTTTTAGCATTGCAGTGTTGCAGTTAACCTTCCAGTGACTTATATTCAAGGCATGCCACTGCCCGTATTCATACGTCTGGAGGACATCATACCTTGAAATCAGTACAACTTGTAAAGGAGCTGATCTTGGCTAGAATCATCTTGTGTGTAGGGATTTTCAAAGAGCTTGCATGCTTTGATTGCACTGACTGGAAAGTGCAACGCTCCTGTAATGATTAACAGCAAACGGTCAGGTTTAAGGGTGGGTCATTTGCTGTTGGTTCCTGTGCTTGCCAACACATGATACACAGGATCTTGTGACTGTGTTAACTCCAAACATAAGAGTATTTGTTTGCATTTACATCACATCTCAAAATGTATTGATGTGTAGAGTAGTCAGGTAACCTCTAAACAGTGAAGAATGGCAATAATTAGGTCACCATTCAGATATGTAACTAATATTAACCCTTATGAACCTGTTTGCTTCCATGCTTGCTGAAAATTATGGAAGTTTTTTGGAGTAGGTGGGAGGGAAAGATGGAGAATTGCTGGCTTCTGAGAGGTGGGGAGAAGCAAGTTCCCTCTTTTGTCTCCTACACAAGGTCAACTGATTGGCTCTTCTCATCTGATGTGACCAGCTCTGCTGCTGGCTCCGGCCCCGTCCTGTGATGAGAATGAAGGAGGACAGACTGGGTGGGGGAGGAAGGGAGGCTAAAAGCAGCCTGGGACAAGAGGAGGAGCGCCCGGTTGTGAGAGATACATGTGGGAGTGTCTGAGGCTCTTGGCTTAATACGCAACAGGAGGCTTGATCCGTGCTCAGCAGTCCCTTGTGGTGTTGGGAGCGGAGGAGGGAGGTTCATGTGGCTTTACTTCAGAAGTAAAAGAAGTTGTGGTGCATAAAATTTCCAAGGAAGCGAGCTGTGTTTGGTTTAGTCCCTTGCAGCCTGGGCTGGCTGAGTTGGCAAGCCCCGCCAAGCTTTCACAGCAAGGCCCAGAGAGGATTTTCCTCCTCCCTCGCTTGGGACCCCAGGCACAGCGATGAGCTCCAAGGAGAGTTGGCGGCTGAAAGCAGATCACTGCAATGCAGGGGCTTGTTGCAAAGACAAGTAAATGGAGGGACCGTGGAGAGGAAGAGGGATGGCAGGCATCTCCTCCTGTGGACTTTTTCCCTGTCTTAGGGGAGGAATAAGAACCTGAAAAATCCTGGCCTCGACTCTGCAGCAGCCAGAGAGTGACTCCTCTTGAGCCTGAGGTTTGGTGCAGTGAAAGCCCAAACCTACAGACTAAACACAGTACCTCCTGTTTACATCTCGTGGGCTGGAGTGGGGCGTGTCCAAGGTGGGACAGGCCGGAGAGCTGCTGCACAGTCTATCAGCCCCCGCTGCCCGGGCTGAGCAATGAGCTGAGAGTCGCTGGGCTCCGGTGGAGGGTTAGCAGATGACAGGAGTTTGGCAGGTCCCGGTGCCATTCCTACCAGACAGGTGTCTGTATCGCCACCACAGCTGGTACTCAGCGGGAGCCGTTTTAGCAGTCTCAGCAGAAAAGGCAAGGAGTCATTAGACCACGGCGATGGTACACCCCATTTCTATCAACAGTCTTTCCAGGTCACGTTCGAGGCATGTTAGTAGGGGAAGCCTGTCCTGCTGCTGCCCACGCTCTGGGGATGATTAGGTTATTTCATTCTCCAGAGCTGTCAAATTGGCACCTTTCCCAAGTACTTGGATTTTTTTTTTTTTTCATTTAAGTAACATTTCATTAGTTCTAAGAAGCTAAATTCTATTAAAGGTCTAAGCATGTCAGGCTGGTTTATTTCTGAACTTCTTCCACTGTGTCATGTATTGCTGAATAGGGAAATTGCTTTGACTCAGAAATGTACAAACATATTCAAGAAGTTCTCCTTGTTAACACTAGACTCCTGTTTATATGCTAGTTACTGTGGCAAAGTCTCTGATGTGTAACACTTGCATTAACATTAGACATGATCAAAGGCTTCCGCCTTTCGTTTTTCCACTCCCCCTTCCCCCAGTGCTGTGACAGCAGAGCCCCCACACTGCCTCCGAAGCACCTCTCCTTTCCGAGGGGTAGATGTTCCAGATGCACAGAGAAAGGCTGTGCAGGAGGTGTCTGGCCCCGTGTTGGAGGGTTAAGGATGCTGATCATGTAGACATACTCTGACGTTACAGTCACTAACTGCCCCACAGTGGCATTCGTATTTGTGGTGGAGTGTCCACGGATCTTGGTCCAACATCTGAGCTGTGCCAAGCATGCAATTCATTACAGATCAACCTTGTCTGTCGCTAAACCTACCCAAAGCAAGGTGAGATTGTGTGTGTTCTCCCTCCCTCCCTCCCTTACTTGTGTTCCAGCAGATGATAGAGACACTCTGTTGAAATGTGTTACTGATCAAGCCTGTCCCAATAAAGTTGCCTGAGCCTTTAATACATATTAATATTATCCTGGGGTAGTTTGTGTCAAAGCCTGTCAGCATGCATCATCCTTTGGGAATTACCATCATTAAGTCTTCAGTGATGGGAGTCAGGACATGCTTCTGCAAAGCTCCTCTGCTTTTATGTGGAGCTCTCTGCCCATCTAGCACAAAGCAGACTGTTCTCCCCTCCTACCTTGCTCACCTGGACTGCTTACTCTCCCCAGAGGGGAGAAGGAGGTTTGTTTAACACTACCTTTAGATAATTTCTGCTCCTGCTGCTTTAGGCAGTCATTGTTCTAGGGAAGAAGATGACACTCAGGTCTTTGATCATGTGCAACGTACATGTTACGCATCAGATATTGCTGCAGACTCTGACATACAAGCCAATACAGTGCAGTAAAAACAAACCTATAGTTAAAGAGTCCTCGTTAACTGCAAAATCTAGCACACAGAATTTAAGAAATATCTCTGCACTTTAGCCTTGCCCCTGTTACACATGTGTATTTCGATACTATATTTAATTGAAGGATCGTATATATTTTTTACAAAGCATGCCTGCCTTATTCAGTGCACAAAGATGCAGCGTGTTTGGGGGATGAATCAGGAGTGTGAAGTAAAGTAGGCTCTTGCCTATAGGACTTCCACTTCATTTGTTTGTCAAAATTAGGTGTGTAGTGAATGAGGCAGGTAATTGCAGAAAAATCACAATAGTCTCATGGTGAAGCCTGTTAAATGTTGCCCTGGATAATTGGATCCTGTCCCTGCCTCTACTACTCTCTTCTTTCTCAATGCTATTCCAAAGTCTTAAGCTAAAATGTTCTCAGGTGGCAAGTGAGTTTGTGTTCCCAGCGACAGGAGGGGGCCGGGAGGAATTCCTCTGTGGATACCCCTGTACGCTGCAGGGCCGAGTGGGCTGGAAGACAAGGACCTGCAAGTCTTGAGATGGGCACCCACAACAAGTGGAGATTCAGACTCAGTTTTCTCTTCACTAATTTCCCGCCTTCTGTTCAGGAGAACCTTTTTCCAGTCATCCTGTGAAGATTAATTCAGTGCTTGCCAAGCATTCCAGCTCCACAGATGAACACCAGAAACAATTTCAGGAAGAGATTAAAATTTGTTCTTGCACGTCAGGAGAGAGAAGGGATCTCTGTGGGGTACGGGTCAGACTGGAAGTTGAAGACCCATGTTCAGCTCCCTGCTCTTGCAGATTTTCTCCGTGACTTTGTTAGGTCTCTTAGCTTCTTTTAGGCTCCTTCCCCCATCTGCTGCATGGAGAGGAGCGCTTCCCTGCCTTGCAGAAGTGTGAGGCTGAGCACATCAGAGGCTGTGAGAGTGGTAAGGACAGTAAGATTAGGTACTTCCAGTGTAATCCATGCTGGCAGTAGTCGGATGGAGCCTACTAAATAAAGGGGAAGAGAGTAGGAGGGAACAGAGAAACAACGTGAATGATAATGAAAAGAAATGATGACTAATACTGCATTCAGTGAGCAGAACCATCCTGAGGACTGAGCAGGGCAGAGGTCTTGTGGGAGAAAAACGGCAGGCGATCCTGTGATTACAGATTTGTTTTGGCAGACATACGCTGGGGCCAAATTAGCATGGGGCAGGCAATCCCTGTGCAGCCATTTCCAAAGTTTTGTATGCCCTATGTCGCTGGCCTCTGAGTGTAGAGGGTTTTTTTCCAGGTAATTTGCTCTGTTTCAGAACAAATCCTGTTAGGCAGATGGAGAGTATGGTTCGTTTGCAGTTGGCACCCTCCGATTCTCAGCAC